CTTCCTTCTCTCACCCCAACTGGTCGACGTACATGGCCGCCCCTCCCTGACCCCGGTTCTGCTGGAGGTTTCTTCCTGTTAAAAGGGAGTTTTTCCTTCCCACTGTTGCCAAAGTGCTTGCTCATAGGGGGTCATATGATTGTTGGATTTTTCTCTGTATGCATTATTGTAGGGTCTACCTTACAATTATAAAGTCCCTTGAGGTGACTGTTGTTTTGATTTGGTGCTGTATAAATGAAACTAATTTGATCAACTACTTTTAATTAAATGTAGAATTTAGGATAGGATAGTTCCTCACCTGTAAAAAACTGATCATTTTCATTTGATCAGAGACTGTGATCACCCACCTCAGGTGAACCATGTGAGCTCTCAAGTCGTGTGGCCTGTTCAATCATGATGATTCGCGGCATAAAACACGTACAATTTTCATTTCTGTTTTCCTTTAGATTTCTTCAGCTTCGTAATAATGTAATAAACGTGTCAGTATTTTCACTGCTAGACATCAAACAGCCGTTGTTAACTAATTCAGAAACGTCATTTTCAAAATTGTAAACAAATGTTTTAATACAACGCTTATGTTTCTGCCAAAGTGTAACTCTGTTTAACGCAGTAACCTGAACCTTTCCATCGTAGATGCTGCAACGTCACTGCTTTGAACCTGACCAATCACATTAGGACTCCTGTTCCTTTGAGCTTTGTCCTCCACACTCAGTTGGTTTGAGCATGCAGAATTGAGCTTCAAGAACAGTTACCTGCAAGAGCCTGAATCTGCTGCATCACTTGCAAATCAGGCAACCTCATGTACATGTGCTTATTATTCACCATCAGCTGATCTTAAGCTTGAAATCTAAACACAGTGATTCTGTTCTGAAGTTAGGGGTGGGCGGTATAAACGGCATAAACGATATAAATTGGGCCAATGGTTGAGATTTTGACTATACCGCTCTACCACGATAGTGCATGTTGATGGTGTCATCAAGCGGCAGCTGTTTTGGTCGAAAGAATTGCAGCGGCTGAAAAAAATATCATTTGCAAATTATGCTGGGCGACAGTTATAGCAAAGACACAAAGCACTTTTGGAATATGGGGAAAGCCAAAAACTGCGCTTCCTCCACTTCCGTGCCATTGATTCATTAATGCTGAATTCTCTCGCAGCTGCTCTATTCGTTAACTTTTGTTGAGTGGAAAACTGTTAGCGTTCGTCCTTCAGCTTCACTGTCCTAATGTTATGCTAACATAGCTGTTTTGCTAGCAATCACGTAGCACATCATTATATACCAACTAGTTCTACTTCAGTAACCCTACAAACGTCACTGCTGTTTAGTTTTCTCTCTTCATTTATGTTGGAAGTGATAGGAGAGCTGTACGTTTGAATTTTTTCAGATATCTCTCTGTCAGAACATGCTATATCATGTTGAGGTGGAAACTAGCGAGCTAACTTCCTGCTAACTTCTAACTCCGTTGAATTTAATGAATTCTGTTTTCATGGATGCCTGGATGTTAAACTTAATTGTTGCACCTGGTAAAGCAGCAACGCTGATCATTTTATTAAAAATGAAAGAATTTAGACAGCTTTAAACTGTCAGTGATGCCGCAGTGTTTGTTTGACTTTGGGACCTGCAGCAGACGGAGTTTTGGACCCAGATTACTCCACAAGGCTCCTGACTAGGCAGCCGTAATGCTCCGACAATCCATCAAGCGGTTCATAGCTTACCAAAGTCGTACTAAAACATTTTTGGATTTCTGCGTGCCGTGTACCACATAAAATCGGTTCGAGGTGAGTAAGCACAACCAGAATTCATACATAAGGCCCACTGTCGATTTTCGAGAAAATTAAAGGATTTTAAGTGTGCCTTATAGTGTGTAAAATACGTTATACAGAAGAAAAGAATATATCGAGATATATATCGTGACCGCACATGCTTCAAATTATACCGTGATATGGATTTTAGGCCATATCGCCCAGACCCATCTGAAGTGTTAAAACATTTGGTACCTGAGAAACCAGGAGCTCATCAGCTGTAGTATATACACCTCAACTTTTTAAAAACATATAGTGTTACAAATATTTAATGATTCAATTCAATTTTATTCATATAGCGCCAAATCACAACAAAAGTCGCCTCAAGGCGCTTCATAGATACAGAGAAAAACCCAACAATCATATGACCCCCTATGAGCAGCACTTTGGCGAAAGTGGGAAGGAAAAACTCCCTTTGAACAGGAAGACAATGACAACTCAATAGTTCTTGGCAGAAAAAGAAACAAAGCACTGCAGATGGGAACCTCATCCAACACACACTTTGACCCGCAAACAGTGTCGTTACATTACCACAATTGTTTGTAGTTTCAAAAAAGTAAATTGTTAGAATTTAAATTGGTTGTAGGTCTTTTCTTTTATTCAAGAGAGAAAGGTATTGGATGAGCACACATACGCACTGCTTTATGAAAACTAATATCAAAATCTTCACATCTAGAGTTGCTTTGTGTATGTTTTGTTTCAATCTAGAACACTATAAACAATCATTTCCATGAAGTACCAGTGATGTCATAAGCTCTGACTTCATGTTTACCCAAACAATGATCGTGATGAGGATCTACTGACAAACTTCCTTGAGGCCAAGTGTGCAGAGCCTTTCATTCTCAGGGTTAGGCTATCCTCTGGAACAATGTTTACAGTGTCAAGTTTTCAGTTATGTTCTAATAGTGTCTATCAAGCTGGCAAACACGAAACATGAGGTTTTACATTTGGATATCCTATGCTTTTCCATTAGCAAACCAAAGAACAGCTTCGTTCAGTGCATTGCCCTAATCAATTTAGCAAGCTGACTGTCTGAGCCAAGCAAGGTCTTCGTCTTTGGGTTAGGGTTACCTGTAAAAGGTTAGTAAAAATTAACCTCCCCATTCAAAAGTTTAAAAATTCGAAGCCTTTGATGGCAAAGCTTTGTCCATTGTTTCTTTATATTTGCACTGTGTGAACAACTAAAACCAAAATTCCTGGTAATGTTCAGGACTGTTCCTTTAGAAGAGGTGAACACCCTCCAGCTTGCCTCACTTTTGGGAGGGGCAATTTATTTTGCCTCTATAATAGTTTCAGGTGGACTTTGCAATGCAGGTGGAATAACACCAAGCCTGAGAACAAAGGCTTTTGTTTGACTAGTCCTGGGCTCATGCAGGTGGAAGTACACAGCCTGTGCTTCATTTGGCAGTAACCTGTCCAGACTGTACAGTGTGAATGCTGAACAATGGCTGTTCTAATAAAACAGATTCCGATTTTTTTTCTTTTCTTTTTTTGCACCATTTAATAGAACAACTTTTTTGCATATGGGTGGTTCCATTTTGGTGATAACAAGCCAAGTTACTCAATGAAATTCAATGTTGTTCAGTGATTAAGGCCCCAAGCATGCACCTGTTGCTAACTGGAAAGCTGACATTGCACAGAGAAAGCCAGCGGTTTGGACCCATTTCACACCATCTATGCCAACAGCTTTTCATTGCAAACATTTGTGACTTCATGATAAACTGTGAGCACGTGAGTTGAACTTCTTTCCTGTTATGTTTCTGTAACACTTTTATTTTGAAATCAAGTAACAAAATATATCGTTACCATTTTTAATATCTTCACATTGTGACACTTCACATGTGATGCATATATGTATGATTAAGTGCACCTACAAGAGAAAGACAAAAAGAGACCATATGACAGCAGAGTGCAGTAAACACTGAGCCGAAATGAGGCAAGAGCAAAGGAAATAATGGAAATTGATTTTTCATGTCTGTCGGTCAAGATGGCATTTATCATTTCACTAAAATACCTTTTGGCAACACCTCACCTCACTCACACAGACACTCACACACATTTAGGCAGACCAGAGCAATATAGTAATATGGCTGATGTTCCTTATTAAGTAGTCAGAAATTTTTAAATAAATCTTTAGTGTGTAAACTGATGGGGAAAACCCTGCTTCATTCATTTTCTTTTACAAAGTCTGATGTTGTCTTACACATCATTACTAGTTTGTTCCTCATAGTGAGGAATACTTCATATGAATTTGAGCTGATTAGACGAAGCAATCACAGTACATACGCATTGTAGTTCAGGACTTCAGCTCTGACTCGGTGGATACAATGTCAGCAGTTTTATAAATACGAATTATCGTGAAACCAGCCAAACAGGTGAAACCGCCTTCCTCGTACTCCCCCTCCCCAAACACAGTACTTACTCACTCTTGAAACCAGACCGTTGACTCAAAGGGCTTACTAACATACTGACTGCTGAGACACACCTTAGTCAGGTTAGATGTCGCCGTCATTATGCAACATTAGCTGCAACTAGTACTCACCTGGCTGCACATGCAGGTTAGCAAGAAATTCCCCAGTTTCTCTAATACTGCTGACATCTTGCGGGAAACTGCTAATCCATTTCTACCCAATTTTCTTCCGTGTGGACTTGTCTTAATAACTGAATGGCTTCAGGCTGCTGCAATTAGGTTTACTGTAGCTTTAAGAGTGAAAACAAGCTAACCGATGGCGAAAACTACCAATTACATACAAAAGCTGACTGGTGTGGTTATAGTCATTTTTTAAAATTTAATAAAGAAGGCAAGTTACTGATGTGAGACGGTCATTTCAATCAGTCCATCTTGTATTACATTTTTTAAAACTCGACGACTTGCCGAAAGTTAAAGCGTCTGTCATCGCAAGACTCCATTCTTGCGATTGTAATCTGTATGAAAATTTTGAGAAAAATATACACAAAACTGATTTTTGAGGCAACGCTCATATGCCTGTTTTGCTTGGTTTACTTCAGATGGTTAGAAAGCTAACCATAGAAAAACTGGCAAATGACATATTCTGGCTCTACACACAACTTGAGCTAGCTTCAGCTGAAGTGTGTACATACTGAAGAGTAAACAGCATGGAATAAACTGTTAGCCGGACGGTTCACAACAACTATGGGCACAAGGTCTGAGAGCGTGCGGTCCGACTTCCTAACCCACCTGATTCCAAACGGCCGTTGCTCAGCAGAGGTGCACCGTTTACAGCCGTTGAAAGAAATTCCAAATCCGACCAGTTCCCGGTGTATTAGTTACAAAGAGGTATCTCTCCCCTTCCAGAGTCGAGGAAGACGTAGACACGCCGTGAATAAGTATTCCCGGAATCCAGGCGACAGGCTTCTTGTTGAGCAACTATCACATCTAAAGATCTATAAGGAACTAAAACTGGGTTGGCTGGTTTTTGTTTTCCACCGCTGCGGTGGTTAGCCTCAGTATTTCCTGCTAGGCTAAACCTCACTGCTGTGCTAACTCCGCCCTCATGACACATTCAAGCACACCTCGTAAACGTGTGCAGACGTCCGGTCAGTGGTTTGCTTTGAAATTTGGTTGAAAACGACGAACCAAGACCGGCATATCTAGCCGCATGTAGGCTGGTAATTGATAAAGTTCCTGGGGAAAATCTGGTGATGTTAGAAGAGACAGCATCTATCCCACTTTGGAAGGACTAACATTCATTTCTAGAAACTGGCTAAACCCTTCAAAACGTGACTATCGAGGAAGCAGAGTTTGTTATTTTTTTTTATCCATCTACCACCTGATCTTTACTTTGAGTTTCTATCGGATCTGTGCATATGTACATGTTGAAAATTATATTATATCATCAACACTATTATTAGACTCAACTGGCTTCTCTCAAAATGTAAATGAGCCACTTTAATCACACTCTTGTAGTGACATGTGGCATAGGATTACAAATTTAACTGTAATCCTTTAAAACTCCTGTTTGTCTGATTGTTTCCTAACTAGAAAACACCACTGAGTGGAAACAAACTGTGGATAGCAATACTATCAGACAAATACCACTGTTAAAAATTACACAAAGACTTTTACACAGCACTGAATGTTTTACCATAAACACTGTTCAGATATATCAGCCATATCAGCCTGTCAGTTTTTGCATTTACCATACCAATGAAGAAGACTCAGAACAGAATTAAGAGGTTCTAGATCTTAATTCTCAATGAGGAGAGAGACCTCTTTGTAACTAATACACTGGAAACTGGTCAGATTTAGATGGTGTTTTTAGGGAAGGTGTTCTTTGGGTCATACTCAGCATTTGGTGGCAATCGTGGCTCAAGAGTTGGGAGTTCGCCTTGTAATAGGAAAGTTGCCAGTTCGAGCCCCGGCTCGGACAGTCTCTGTCGTTGTGTCCTTGGGCAAGACACTTCACCCGTTGCTTACTGGTGGTGGTCAGAGGGCCTGGTGGCAGCCTCGCCTCTGTCAGTGCGCCCCAGGGTGGCTGTGGCTACAATGTAGCTGCCATCACCTGTGTGTGGATGGGTGGATGACTGGATGTGTAAAGCGCTTTGGGGTCCTTAGGGACTAGTAAAGCGCTATACAAATACAGGCCATTTGTCGTCCTAAAAACATGGCAGGTCAGGTTGAGGCCAAACAGCTTGATTTTGGTTTCATCTGACCACTTGGGAGTGCTTTCTCTCAAGCCCTCTCTGAACTATGTCAGTGTTCACTGGCAAACTTAGATGGGCCCTTACATGTCCCTTATCCTGAGCAAGGAGACCTTGCAGACACTGCAAAATTTCAATTCATTATGGTGTAGTGTGTTACTAATAGTGTTCTGGGTGACTGATCCCACTTGCCCTCAGCACTTCCTGTGTAGTTTGGGGCTGATCCACCACCTTTCTCATGCTCATCTGCACCACATGAAACAATATATTGTTTTGGGCTTTAGACAGAGGGTCATTTTATATTTCTTTCATTTCTGAATAATTGCCTTGAAAGTTGTCACCTTCTGTCCAAACTTCTTGCTGATGGTCCATTCCAGTCCAATTCAGATCAAACTGAGGTTATTGTACTCGGCCCTGAAAAGCTTAGAAATATGGTATCAAAGCAGATTCTTACTCTGGATGGCATTACCTTGGCCTCCAGTAACGCTGTGAGGAACCTTGGAGTCATTTGTGACCAGGATATGTCCTTCAAAGCACATATTAAACAAATATGTGGGACTGCTTTCTTCCATTAGCGCAACATCTCTAAAGTTAGAAATATCCTGTCTCAAGAGTGACGCTGAAAAACTGCTGCAGCAAGAGTACTGACAGGGACTGGAAAGAGAGAGCAGATTTCTCCTATATTGGCTTCCTGTTAAATCCAGAATTGAATTCAAAATCCTGCTCCTCACATACAAGATCTTGAATAATCAGGCCCCATCTTATCGTAATGAACTTGTAGTGCCATATCACCCCATTAGAGCACTTCACTCTTGGGCTGCAGGCTTACTTGTTGTTCCTAGAGTATTTAAAAGTAGAATGGGAGGCAGAGCCTTCAGTTTTCAGGCCCCTCTTCTGTGGAA